AGGCTAAAGGCAACTGTCATCAAGCTCAATAACCTGAGTTCAATCCCTAGGACTCATATGATAGAAGGAAAACACCAAATCCTGCAAGCTGTCCTCTGATTTATACATGTACAGCAAGCTCACACAATAAAAATGTACAAAAAGAAATATTGTAGGGAAAAAAACTACTTTTGACAAAAAGAAAAATGTAAAAAAAAAAAATTCTTTTAAGCCAAATATTGTTGGTTCACACTTGTAATCCTAGCCCATGGGAGGCTGAGGCAGAATTGCTATTTGAAGCCAGCCAGCACTATGGTGACATGCTAAGTTCCAAATGCTGGGATTGTTTGACTGCTCTTCTAAAATATGTATGTAGTTTAGATTTACTGATTTTATGTATGAGTGTTTTGCCTGCATCTATGCATGTGCACCCTGTGCATGTCTAATGCCCATGGAGGTCAGAGAGTATCAGATCCCCTGGACCTGGAGTTAAACGTAGTTGTGAGCCTCTGAGTCAGTTCTGGCACTGAACCCAGGTTCTCTGAAAGATTAGCATGTGCTTTTAACCCTGAGCCATCTCTCCAGCTCCTGGATTCTTTTTTCAAACACATTTTCTTTTTAAAACAAGTTTTTTGTTTTTAAAGACTTATTTACTTTATTTTTATGGTATAAGGGTTTGATTGTAAGTATGTCTGTGCATCATGTGTGTTCCTGGCATCTCAAAAGTCAGAAGTAGGAGTCAGATACTCTGGAACTAGAATTATATAGATGGTTGTGAAGCTCCATGCTGCTGCTGGGAACTGACCCCAGATCCTCTGTAAGAGCAGCAAGTATACTTTTTATTCATTCATTCATTCATTCATTCATTCATTCATTCATTTATTTATTTATTTATTTATTTATTTATGTATGTTTTTCGAGACAGGGTTTCTCTGTAGCTTTGGAGCCTGTCCTGGACTACCTCTGTAGACCAGGCTGGCCACGAACTCACAGAGATCCACTTGCCTCTGCCTCCTGAGTGCTGGGATTACAGGCATGCGCCACCACTGCCCGGCAAAAATTGTCTGTAAACTTCCTTTCATTTTTTTTTTTTCCAGAGCTGAGGACCGAACCCAGGGCCTTGCAGCGCTCTACCACTGAGCTAACTCCCCAACCCGCGCAAGTATACTCTTAACCATCTCTCCAGCTGGCGTATTTTCTTTTTTTGAGACAGGTCTTACTATGTAGTTCCAAGCTGCATCCAATATTCCCACCCTAGTCTCCCAAGTGCTGGAGTTACAGGCGCTGCTGAGCAGAATGTTCTTTTTTTTCCTTCAAGAAAGTTCTTTGGGACATTGTAACTTTCTATTAAGTCTGTACTCATGTAAAAAGATTTTCTGCATCAATAAACAGTCTTATAGTCTTAGCATTTTGTTCCTTTGAATAAGGGATATGCATTTCCATTTCAGCTCTTGGAGGGAAGATTCTAATCTATGTACTGCACTAAACATTTCAAGCAAACCAACTTCAAATTACTTCTAGTTCCCAACTTTAAATCCTACCAGCTCTTCCAAACAAACTCGAATGGGCAGAGCAGGTAAAAATCAACACACTAAAATGAACATCAATTCAAACAACTATCTGTCCAGCTAGTGACCCTCTCTTCCCTAGGACCACCACTGTGGGAACTCTTCACATACAGCAGGCAGGTCCAGAGGCAGTTACGTAATACTTTGTTATAACCCCAGTGAGGAAAACATCGAATGCAGCTCAGTCTACAACACAGCCTTACTTTAGATAAACTCAGAGACAAGTTCCAAAGGAAAACCGTCCGTTATTTGAAAAAATAAACAAAAAGAACACCCGGAGAAAGTAGAGAAAAGCTAAGGCTTCAAAACCATAGGTAACTTTGACAAAATGATGTCAAGAACAGTAGCTATTAAATTAAATCAAACATCTGCTTTGGAAAGGCGGCTGGAGTTGACAAGCGAAATCAAACTGAGCCTACACTAGACTTCGACTTACAGGGGTGAGGCCAGGCAGACAACGTCTCCCCCAACCTAGGCCATGAAAAAGGCAAAGTGCTCTGCTCAGCAAAGATACACAATCCTAGTAGTTTTCCAGCTAACACATAACTCCCATAACCAGATCCAGAATGATAATTCCAAACAAACCATACACTGGCGGGTTTTTTGACTGTTCTGAGTTTCGCTTATGAAGTCCAGAACTCAGAATGCGCCTGCCCCTGTCGCCCAAATGCTGAGATTGCTGGCTGGGCCGCCACACCCGGGTAAACTTTTTTTTTTTGTAATGCAAAAGGAAACACTAAATTGTTCCAGAATGCTTTCTTTGTTTTAAAGGGAGCTCGCATTCTGACCAGAATGGGGCGGCCAAGTTCGCAAGAGTCTGGCAAAGAAAAGTTTCCGGGAGGCCGTTTAACAAGTTAACTGTAAGCGTGGGTATCGGTACAGGGGAAGGGCGGCAAGCTCACATGGGCACCATCGACAAACCCTGACAGCTAACCACTGCATCTCGCGGGGCTTGATGGCAGAGAGGCCGCGCGGGAAGCTGAGGGGCAGGGACGGGCGCGGTGCCAGGGCCGAATCCAGGTCACCGCGGTGAGGGCAGGGAGCTGACGCCGCCGATGGGCACAACAGCTCTTACGGTTCTGCCCGGAGCTCAGAGGCGACCCGCGCCGTCTGACAGTCGGGAGGGGTGGCAAGGGCTCTCCGTCTGGCCGCCGGGTGCACGGACATGGCGTTTAAAGGTCAAGGTCAAGGTGGGGTTCGGCAAGAGACGAAGAAGCGCGCTCGCAAGGGACCAAAGACACATGAAATAACAACGCTACTATTACTGCGGCCACGGTCACCGTTAAAAAAAAGAAAGGCAAGGACCTCCTGCACCGCTGCAGGCTGGAGTGCACCACCGGCTGGGGGGGGGGGGGGAGCCTCAGTCGGGAGCCAGCGACCAGAGGGAAGGAGGGAGGCGCTCGGAACCCGGCCCGCGGCCGCCGCCACACTCACTTGCCCTCCTGGCAGTCATAGAGCACGATGGAGTCATCGTCGCTGCTGGAGATGACGGTCTCCCCATTGGGGCTGAAGTCAAAGAGGTTGATCTTGTCCGAGTTCTCGCGGAACACCTT